TTATTTTGAGACAGAGTCTCATGTAATCCAGACTGGCCTGAAATTTGTTTTGTAGTCAAGGATAACCTTTAACTTCTGGCCTTCCTACTTCCACGTTCCACGTGCTGGGATTACAGGTATGCATCATCACACTCAGTTATGATGCTAGGGATCAAACCAAGAGCTTCCTACATGCTAGGTAAGCCCTCTACCAACTGGGCTACATCCTCAGCTCACAAAATTTTGAGCCAGGTGTGGTGGCACACACCTTTAATCCCAGCACTTGGGAGGCAGAGGCAGGCAGATCTCTGTGAGTTCAAGGCCAGCCTGGTCTACAAAGTGAGTTCCAGGCCAGCTGGGGCTACTAGGAGATGCTGTCTCAAAAAAAGACCAAAGGAAAAAAAAATTTACTTCTGTGTCATTCCTTTACATGTTAGAAAAACAGTTAACTGACATGATTACTGTTATCATCTTATGGATATAGCAAATCCAATGATTTTTTTCCTCTCTGCACCCTAGTTCTCAACATAGAATTCTTTCCCATATGGAACTATAATTCTTAATATAAAAATCCAGTCCTTGTTCTCTACTATGTGCAAATGTATAAAGTGCCGTTTCTTATTTTTAAAATATTATAAATATTTTATAAATGCTATAAACATAGCTAGGTATGGTACCACAGTCCTGTGATACCAGTACTTGAGAGGCAGAGGTAGAAGGATCACAAATTCCAGGCCAGCCTGGTTACATAAACAAACCCGGTCTGAAACAATGGAAAGAATGATGCTGCAACCAATGAGTACTTCTAATTTTGATGGCAATTCACCTTACAACTCACAGCATCACACAAACGCTCTTTTAAAAATTAAATAAAAACACCGGAGCACTAATAGACAACAAAATCTATCTATTAAGTAACTTTAGGGCACTGAATTTTATGAAAAAGCTATATTCTAATGAGCCACATTACTGTGACTCAAATCAATTAATAAAAAAATCTGTGCATCAAAGAGATTCATATACTTTCATGGCCTTCTTCCTCCATTTCTAATATCACAGCAGAGGAATTTCCAATAATAATATCCAGGAAGAAGTCAGCAGGGTTGTTGTGGGGCTCATGGTGATAACCTACAAAAGAAAGAAATCCAAGAGCACAGTTCTAAATGTCTTAGGAAACACAGAGGACTCTTTCAGGAAGGGAGGCTAGGGAAGACAGAATCCAATGATTTCCTAATCTTGCTCTCTTTTGTCCTCCCTGAGTTATCCTTTCCTCTTATATATATTCTCACAAAATATCACAATTTTCCAAGCCAATTATATATGTGTGCTCATGTGTACTACACAAGAACATCTTACATTAATTCTTATGTATCATAAATCATGAAACCCAAAGTAGCTATCAGTATGTTCTGATGCTTGTCAGTACTTCCTAAACCTAAATCCAGGTCTAAGTGTGGGGAGTGATTAACTGCCCAGGTGCACTGTGCTTTCCGGGTTCACCTAGGAAACTGGAAGAGCAGTATGTGGGATAACATTCACTGCTTCTCTACCTACTAAGTCCAGAGGTCCAAAATATCATGCCATGTTGTCATAATTCCAAATACAAACAAATCCCATGATGGCAGCACAGCACACATGAACTCTGACCTCAACTCTCTTATCCCAATCATTTGAACTTGCCCTAAATTTTGACTGGACTCCCCAGATCCACAAATTGCTTACACATTTTAAAATGACAAAAATTAATTAAAAAACAAGTTAAAAGTTAGACAGTGGGTACTTTATTGGTATTTGGGGTCATGTAGAATCCTCTATAATTATATCCAGATTTCTCTAAGGTGAGGCTCACTTTATAAACCATTAAAAAAAAAACTCATCATCATCTAATCTAAATATAGAAAGAACCAGTCTAAAAATATGAGCCCAAAAATGTCAGGCTTAAGACTAGCACACATTCATAGCCTAAATCTGAAGTATGAGGTCACTACAAAGTTAAGTAGCACCTCCATAAACTTTCAGAGCAAGATCACATACTAGAGGAAAGTGAAAAACCACCATCTGTTACTTGGGCAAGAATGCAATGATACTGGATCTTTCCAAAACTGTTGAAACAATGAAATAACTGGGCCTGAGTCTAGCATGTGATTAAGAAGTCATCATAACTGGGAAACAGAAGACACATGGCCCAGCAAAAACACTCAAACAGGCATGTATACTTAAACAGGACAGGAAAAAGAAAAAGAAAACAAAACAAAACAAGCAAAACAAAAGTAAGCAACAAGCAAATACCTGTAAAGAAGACAGCAAGAGTTTGGCTATGTCTTATTGTATTTTAGCAAAAAAAAAATTGTGAGGGCAGGATAGAACAGTATTCCAGTGAGCCCGGTTTTCTTCCCGGATCCTGTGGATGAAGGAGCTGCCGCATGGAAACGTGACCATACCTGCTAATTCGAAGTACTCCAAAGCGTCCTGTGCAGGCCCATGAAACAGGACTTTTCCTTTGGCCACTAAGGTGAGGCTATCAAAACGTCTGAAGATGGAATACTGAGGCTGATTAATGGAGAAGATGATTGTTCTTCCCTGCCTAGACATCCTAAGTAGAAAGAGGGAAAATAATGGGTCACGGAACATCCGAACCTGAAACATCTTGGCAAAATGATTTATTGCTGACATTATTCACTATTCCCAGTTCAACCTGAGTTTTCTTTCTAAACACCTGACTTCACTTGTATTATACTTGTTAGGCAAACTAACTCAATGCTCTAAGACCAGCATTTCTTAAAGTATTGCACAGAATCCACTAGAATGTTTATTGTATATGCAGATTTCTGGTCAGTGTTCTCAGAGTTAGAATTGTCAGGAAGAAGTACAGGGAGTCAGATCATTAACAGGCAGTCTAGGTGATCTGAAAGCACACTCACATTTGAGAAAAATTATGAACTAAACACTAAAATGATAACGGCATGCCCAGTCCTCTTTGATCACTTAGGTCCTCTGGATCCTCATGAATTTGCTTCATTGTTCTGATAATATGATTAACATTAAAACCACTTGCTATCTTTGCTAAATGCCTCAGAGATAATTTCATTTCAACTTTAACAATATTTCCATAAGGCAGTTTTAATAGTATAATTTCCATCTTTCTATAGATAAATATTATAAGGTCAACTGACCTGTCAAGGAGGTCATAGTAAGGGGCAAGATTGGGATTTGATCTTTGGTCTAATTCCACAGCAGGAAAGAAAAAAAACCCAATACCAAAATAAATAAATAAATAAATAAACAAACACCCCCCCCAAAAAAAAAAAACTACCATTTCAGAGGACTTATACCATATAGTAGGAGCAAAGGCCAAAAACAGTGTTTAAAACTGTTATTACAAACATTTCTTGAGGCCGGGCATGGTGACACATGCCTTTCATCCCAGCACTGGAAGGCAGAAGCAAGTGGATCTCTTTCAGATTGAGGTCAGCCTGATCTACAGAGTTAGTTCCAGGCCAGCTGGCGCTACAGGGAGACCCTTTCTCAAACAAACAAACACAAACACCATTTTGGGGACTGGAGTAATGCCTCAGGAGTTAAAAGCACTGGTCGCTCTTCCAGAGGACCCGAGTTCCATTCCCAGCACCCACACAGTGGCTAACAAGTGTTTGTAACTCCAGTTTCAGGGGACCTGAAGCTCTCTTCTGGCATTTGTGGGCACTGCACGACACAGGTGCACTTACTTATACGCAGGAAGCTACGGCAGAGTTGCACAACTGCTCGGACACAGAGAATATGTCTGAGAGATGCCAAGTACTAGCTGACCCATTCACAGTTGAACCTCCACACCTACGGCTCATGGAAGATAGTGGGGACAAGGGGTAGAGAGACAACTAATGCATCCCTCAAGTCTCACCATCAAATTTCCTTATACCACAGAGTGTGAGGTACACAGAAGGTCACAGCTGGCCAAGTTTTAAAGAATAAGAGACTGCAGAGTATGTATCCTTGGACAGGACTCCTATGTTGAACTTCACCCACCCACGACTCAGAGACCATTGCAGAAGAGGGGAGAGAAAGATTGTAAGAGCTAGAGCTCATTCATAAACAGGGAAGCAGAGGCTTTCGGGCCACTGGAAGCTTGCACATGTGAACTTGTGGCAATGGTGGTATCTAGCACAGGACCCATGCCAACTCAATTAAACAGGGGCCCAGAGTGGAGGAGAGAAATTGGTGGTGGGACATCCTTAAACTAAGAACTACTGGAGACTGACAAATGCTAGGTGAGGGAGAGTATGCCTTACATACGAACTCTAGATGGGCTTACTAGACTCCGGTGGACGAATTTACACTGAAGGACATCTGGGTTCAAATGTTTGACTAGATGGGACTTAAGGTATATGGCAGAATACATGAGGTCTGGTGAAGGGATTGGGGACATGGATGGGGGAAGGGGTCTAAATTTGATTAAGAACTGTTGTATAAAATTACAAAGCTCAATAAAATTTAAAAAATTAATTTTTTAAGGCCAGGCAGGGAGGCACATGCCTTTAATCCCAGCACTGGGTGGCAGAAGCAGGTAGATCTCTGTGAGATTGAGGCCAGCCTGATATACAGAGCTAGTTTCAGGCCAGCTGGTGCTACAGGGAGACCTTGTCTCAAACAAACAAACAAATGAAAAACATTTTGGGGGCTGGAGTGATAGCTCAGTAATTAAAAGCACTGGTTGCTCTTCTGGAGGACCTGAGTTCCATTCCTAGCATCCACACAGTGGATAACAATTGTCTGTAATTCCAGTTTCAAGGGACCTGAAACTCCTTTCCAGCCTCTGTGGGCATTGTATGACAGGGGTACAATTATGTATCTGCAGGCAAAACACTCAGACACATGAATAAAAATAAATTTTAATAAAATTATAAAACCCTGGCATAGTGGCACATTCCCAAAATCCCAGCACTTAGGACATGGAGGCAGGAAGATCAGGAGTTCAAGTCTCACCTAGGTTCCATAAGATTCTGTTTCTAAAAGACAAACAAAGAAACAAAAAAAAAAAAAAAAACCTTAAAACAGCAAGCAAAAAGAAATACAAAGACAGTGAGTGAGAGATCTGGACATGGTGAAGCCTTTCAAAGACAGGGGTAGGAAGATGAAGAGACTGAGATCAGCCTGGGCCACACAATGAAATAAGAACGACAAAAATGTGAAATGACTTCAAGAAAAGCATTTTATGAGCCTATACTATAAGCTAGGGGTGTGTCCAAAGACAATTGGGCCAGAGGATGAGTAATTTCAATACAATGTGGAATAGATGTAGCCAGTGGTTCATTGTTAGCAAAACAGACTTGCAACCTCCTGTGAAGAGAATACAGACTATCAAAGGCTAAACAGACAGAGAACCAGCTGAAGAAAGTGAAATAAAAAATCTAGCCAAGAAACTATGGGAAGCTCACTACTATACAGCAAGGAGTGTGTGTGTGTGTGTGTGTGTGTGTGTGTGTGTATGTGTGTGTGTGTGTGTGTGTTGTGTGTGTGGGGTGTGTGTGGGGTGTGTGTGTGTGTTTGTGTTGGGGGGAGAAGGAGGGAAATGAAAAGAAAGAAATAATTGGTATATAATGAAAGTGATTAAAGAGATTACCTAAAAAGGAAATTAAGCCCATGAAAAACCCTTCCCTCAGAAGCTGGACCCTTGGCCAGCAGGTGGTGGAGAGCTGGTAAAGGACTCAAGGCAGAAAGTGGACATGATGAAAGCCCTGATGCTCAAAGCTAGGTCTTAGGACAAGTGATGTCAGCATCCCCTCTATAGTCTCCTATGAAGAGAATCTTGAGCCTTGCCTCACACCTCCAGAAACAGAATGGGCTTTTTTTCTCATGAAAAATGAAATTCCATTTCAACAATACGTATCCTTATCATGTGCAATTTCCAGAATCTAGATTTTAAACAAGTGATGCATATGTACAGCGGTGCTAGAAAGGAATGGATAGAGGTCTCTGCAAGGATATCTGTATGCTACAGTGTAAAACAGGAAAACTGCATCATAGTATCCTGCGTTCTCTAGTGAGCACAACTAGCAGTTAAGATAATATATATAGCATGGTTATGATCTGAGAGAGGACCTGAACTCAGGCTCATACTGTACCTTTTGAATGAACATGTGCAATGGACATCTCAAATTTAATATGCTTAAACCTTAGACATCTTTCCGTCTTCCCTAATTTCCCATCCTAGCATAGGTACTTGCCTATAATGGTATGAACATTAAAGGAAGGTGCTAATAGGGGAAACTATGAATGTGGTGTGTTTTGCAACTTCAAAAATAAGGAAGAGGACACTGACATTAAGATGTTTGCACATGTGTTGTAATGAAATGCTTCTTCTAAGTATGTGGTTATTAAATAAATAATTTAAAAAATAAGAAAGAGGAGTTTTCCAGGTATAGCACAGTGATTGTAAAACTGTGTACATTAAACAGTTAAATTACTTGAAGAACAGATTATCAGTATTAATAACCAAATATTATCCCTAACAGAATATTAGTAAGTCATAAAAATGAAAATGCTATTTCACATCAGAAAATCCAGAAGAGACCAGCACAATTAGAGGATCAAGATTCACCAGAGGTGAGCTGCTCCCGGGCTGCTGCACTGGGAAGAACACAGCAGCATCTCATGGCCTGAGTCTGTTCCCAGAGCCCTCTGATAAACCAAGGTTAGGGTCACCTCAGGAAATGTGCTAAGACTAGCAAGGACAAAGGAAATTGGAGAGATGGGGGAATGGTTCACATTAGAAAAAAAGATCAACTAAGCATTTCTGGAGAGGAAGCACTGCAAGAAGGTGAGACATCTGAGGAGACTGCGGGCCAGGTAGTGGCAACACTGTAGTGGTTGGCTTCCTCACTGGGAGCCTGCAGGGGTGGAGCACCCTCGCTTCTTGCAGGAGTAGTCAGCATGATGGGTTGTGATGTCAGAAACAAGCAACTATGGAATGGAGAGTAGATAGGAGAAGCAAGTGCGGTAAAATTTAAAAGTGGGAACCTACGCCAGGGGAGTGGGATACTCCTTGTGTTGTTCTTGGAGTTTTTCAGTCTGTTTGAAATTCTCTTTATTAATTTTAAAGATGTACAAAACTTACTTTTAAAATTTTTCCTAAAATTTTCCTGTCACAGTCTTCTTTCACGGTAAACGGGAATGCCACATTTTTACTTCATTTTCCCCTGTGTTCAGGACCCAAATCATAGGTGTGATTCTCTCGACCATTCTACTCAGGCCCAGCCCAAACTAATGCCAGCTGTTCTGTCTACAAAGTGTACCCAGAATCCACCATTTCTAGTCAAAAAACCACTGTGTCTCTGCCTCCCTGCTGGCATTCTTACAACACCCTGGTGCAAACTGCACAGCCTTCTCCACAAGTGTGCATTGCTCCTCTGTAACACTCTCTAAAAGCTTCGCACATCCCCTGCCATGGGAAATCTTAACTCTTTACAGTGGCCTTTGTGGTCCAGGTAATACATATCCAAATCAGCCCACCTCACGTCAATCCTAAATGTGAAGTGCTAAATTGTGTTCTTCCAAAGATTCATTTGTTGAAGACTTAACGTTGAAAAACTCAGAATGTGACTACATTTGGAATTAGCATCTTCAAAGGGGAAATTAATGTTAAACAAAATCACTAGTGGGTCCTAATGTGACTGATGTCCATTTAAGAGATCAGGGTCTAATCACACATAGAGGGAGAAGACACCATGTACAAATCAATGAGGCAGGTGTCAGCAGGCAGAAACCTGCTGATACCTTCATATCTGACTTCCAGCATCCAGAAGGCTAAGAAAATTAATCTCTTTTGTTAATCACCAAGTCTGTGGTGTTTTATTACATGAGTATACTAGCCAACCTCCATTCCCTTTCGGCCTCTGGGTCTTAGTCCAACTTGACTCCATGATATTCCACACATGAGGCATGTTCTGCATCAGCCTCTGGTTTTTCCTTCCAGCCTGAAGTCTCTTCTTCCAAAGCCAGGTCACACCCACTCAGGCACAGCTCAGTTGTCACAGGCTTGAGGTGCTCCCTCATATGTTATTTAAATCAGTGCTGCACCCTCACAATGACCACCCGTCCCTATGCTCATTTCATTGTTCTTGATAAATCTTCGTTCATAACTGACTGATTCCCTCTAATAAAGGAGGACAAATTCAGTTGTTTACTTCTGAATCCCCCATACCAAGAATAGCTGGTACATACATGTGACGAGTATTACATAAATGGAAACAAAATGTTCCTTTGCCACTTACCATTGCAAGAGCAAAATGACATCATATGCAGTGCTGAGACTTAAACCAGTTGTGGGTTCGTCCAGGAACAAGATGCGATGGTCAGTGATCAGCTCCATTGCTATAGCAGTCCTTTTTCTGTCTTCTTTTGAAATAGGCTAACACATCAATCATTGTCATTATCAACAAGGACAACCAAAGTCAGTATCATTTGGTGAACCTGCCTGAGCTTGCCACAAAAATTAATATTACTTTTAATATCATTATCCTGAACAGCAAAAATATGGACACCTAGGAGAAGGAGGTTCCTCTTTACCAGTTGAGTACAAAGAGACTCAGGTAAGACTTGATATGAAGTCCCTGTTTGCAAACAGTTTTGTTTGTTCCCTATCAAATCACATACTCAGTTTTATGGCAATAAATTATAACACTAAAGGACTGTGACATAGTGAAATCACTCTCTAAAATAGAGGGTGAAGAAAGAGAGGAAAAGAAAATTAATCTCTAGTTATTTATTAGTCAGCTAATGCCCTCACACACACATCAACACACACACACACACACACACACACACACACACACACTGTTTTTATCCTAAAGTCCAGAAGAGGACTTAGAAGGAGAGTAGACTTAGGACCTAGAAAGTTCACACTCTACCACACCTTATCAGTATGCTTTCAAGCTCTGTGAGATTTTACATATTGACATTATTTACCACCTGAAACTTCTCAAAATTCCCAGTTTATCCTTTTAGACAAATCCAGGTGGGATATTCTACAGGTCAAGCTGGAACAGTCTGTGCAACAGTCGATGTCATTGTGTGAGGTACAGGGACTAAGGAAGGTTTGGGGACAGAGAAGGTAAGATAGGATTCTGAAATTTAAAATCTCCATGATTGAATATACACCCTACATGGCTGAGGCTATGAGGGTATTGTTTATTTTGATAGTTAAGAGTGGAATTGGTAAGGTAAACAAATTATTTTTTATAATGCATGATTAAGTATTTGAGAGTAAAAATTGTGTAGTATTCTTTTAAAATGCCCTAGTAAAAAATAGTGTCAGTGAGTATGGGATAAAATATTAGCTCAAGAAACTATAGAACAGTATATACAGAATACTATAATGCTGACCACATAACAATCATACGTTAGAGTAACCATATTATTTTCCCTACATTTCTTATGTCAAAAATCTCACTAAGGACTAGGAGAAGGCTCAGATGGTAAAACTAGTTGCCACATAAGATTGATAACCTGGAACTCACAGAATAAGCTGGATGCACTGGCACACATCTGTAATTTCAGTGAGATGTAATTATGGCGATGGAGGAGGAAACAGGAGAATCAGATAAGCACACAGCACAGCAGCAGAAACAAGAGAAACCCTGCCTTAAAAACAAGACAGGGAGAGAATGAACTCCTGAGATGTTGACCTCTGGTCTCCACATGTGTGCTGTGGTACTTGAGTGCCCACCCTTACACACACACACACACACACACACACACACACACACACACATTTTTAAAAAGTCTCATTAATTTTTTTTAATATTAAAATTATTGCAAGCTATTATATGCCATCAATTTTAACAAGACAAATAAATGCCTTCATACATTTTCCCTGAAAATCTAAGCAAGAAATTTAAGGAAATGACTAATTAAAGATCGGGAAGTCACGGGATTTATATTTGAGTGTGGACTTTCCACTGCATCTGTAAATGGAGGGGCACCCACTCCTCTGTAAATAAACCCCAAACCTATTCTCTGTTTTAAAAAATGATAGGTTTTTATCCAAAGATAGATGAGAGAGAGCTTTGACCACACATGTTATAAAAAACTTCTGGCAGCTTTTGACTGAGGGTCATAATATCCAACAAGGGAGGTCTTTTTCTTTCCTGGCTATTATTTTTTCAGGGTATTGTCTTTACATTTTTTCTTCAAAAATTACCTTGGAATTTTCCACTTTATCCAGACCCAACAGTTTAAGGACTTCATTAATTCTCCTTCTTCTTTCATCACTTGTTACAGTCATTGGTAGTCGAAGAGCTGCTGAGAACTCTACATTTTCTCTCACCGTCACTGTGTCCACCACCATGTCAATCTTAAAGCAAATGGTATTTTCAATCAGACATTATCATTACTCAGACCATTACTCTCATATATGCAACCAGTTCCACAAACATAACACACCTAATATAATGTTCTACCTTATGGTGAGCTTTTAATTTTACACACTGCAGTAATTCTAAATACAGACAGAACAGACTCTGATAGAGCTGTTTTTATCCCTGATTTCCCTTCCAAGTGCAACACAGGTATTTTGGTGAGTGCTCCCAGATATTTCCAGACTGCTTTGTGTAATTATTTGCAGAAGACCTCATATAAGGGTCAGCAAAAACTGCAGGAGGTGCAGAGGACAACAGCTTCCCTGCTGGGCATGCTATAACAGCAGGATGAATAGAGCTGTGACACAAGGGTCTATTCCAAAGCTTCTCCATCTTCCTGTTTGATAGCACCACTCCCCTCGGTCTTTTGGGAAACTATGAAAAGTTGTTATAAAGTTGAGTCTATAAACACATCATTTAATCAAGTGGAAGCTTATTAATCTCTAGGCTGAGGCACATGTCCATACAGAAGCAGAGGAAATCCAAATTACAAACCCACTAATACTTACTTGTGGCACATAACCAGAATTACATCTGAAATTGGCAGGTTGAGGTGCTCCGTTTATCAAAATTGCTCCTGATAATCCACGTGGATCTTTCCTTGCCACTAAGACATCTAACAGCCTATAAAAGGGCATCTACATTTTATTTCTTCCCTTCAACACAAGCCATTATCTCTCAGATACTCAGATCCAAATTCTGTACATGACAGAAAATTAAGTAGATAACAAATCAATAATTTAACTAAAACGACACCACACACACACACACACACACACACACACACACACACACACACAAAGTGTGTGCGTGCCTTTCTTTTCATAATGTGCTATAAGAAAGACCCAAATTACAAAGAGAAGACATGATCCAAATATGCTCCTGCTTTCTGAGCTTAGTAGACTCAGGTTCGGTGCTACTTAATCTTGAGGATGAAGGCTGCGGATGCTTTCTTGTCCTCACTTAGACAACTTCTGCTTCTTCTCCCTAATTTCAATATTACCATCTTCTTTTCCCTTTCCATTAAATAATAATATGACCCAACACTCTATACCAATTACCTTATCACATCCTATCAGTAAAGCTGACCTAGTAAAACTCCCTGGTCCTTGGGAGAAAACTAAAATGTATCCCAACTGCATGTTATCCACAGTCCAGACTAGACACCCACACTCACCTGCTTAAGCAACATCTTAACAAGTGATATTTAAGTAATTTTTTAAACACACAAACTGGAAACTAAAATTTAACATATATTTTCTGTCATACTCACAAAGACCTGCTTCCATCTTGAGGGCCCATAATGGCATTGAGACCAGGTTTCATGATCCCACTGTAAACACAAAACATCCTGATTGATTTACTATGCTACTTGTAAAAAGATATTAACTCAGGGACCATAATGAATATGCTCATTGGACACTGATTAAATTTGAGCTACCTAGCTGGACATAAAGCCTGCTCAATGGGAGGTAACTCATGTGTGGCACTGTCAACATAGCCCAATACACATGGCTAGAGAAGC